GTAGTCAGTTCTGAATTACTTCTTCTTTATTATATCTGTGAACAAACTGTTGCATCATCATCAGCAGGATCATTAACAACAACTAGAGATTTAGCAAAATCTTTGAAGATTTTTGAAAGATCTTTGAAACTTGTTTGTGTGCACCAATACTAAAGTGGGAGGGTAAAAGGGTAAAACAATTTTTAATCCTTTGTTTATCCAACCCAATACTATCAAACATCAAATAGGAGAATTGATCAACTAGTAATGGTAAACTTGGGGGATTATTGTAAACTCTCTGTTCAATCCTAATCTTGTTTTCCACTTCAATGAGCAATCTATTGTCAATTTTAAAATAATCAGAGTTTGGCATGTCATATTAAAGCATAGCAGAGGCAATCTTACTTTTTTTTTCGTCAGAAACGTCTTCATTTAACAAAGGAAGAATTACAATTGTAGAATCTGGATACTAGGAATGTTTATAAAATGATTTCAATACTGCTTCGATTGCGTCTGGTTTGCTACAAACCTCTTTGTATAGATGCATTTTATGTATTGATAAAATATCTAGATATGGTGCTTTGATACCCTTATCAGGTTGCAAATACCATTTTGCATAAAAACATGCTATGAATTCCGCCATGATATTTATTACTTCTAAAAGTAGTTTATCTTCCTGAACAAATTTAATTTGATTAGAAAGAAATTGCATTTTTAGATAATATATGGCTTATCCGAGGAACTTTGGAAGGTGGACAGCTCTTTGTTTCCTAATTTTTACACCTTCAGAAGACAAATAAGTAATAACTAGCTCAGCTAGTTCTTTTCTATTGTCTTTTAAAACTTTTTCTACTAATATATTCTTTGCAAAAATTTAGAGACTCAACTGCAGTATATTCGATAACAGTTCCTTTTGTCTTATCCCAAAGAAATCTTGTAACATTTGTATCATAATGAAGACCAGGAGTTTCAAATATGTCTTTGAGTTTTTTAAATAAAATATTCTCTGGCCCAAATGTCTTACTTTGAGACACAACATTACAAAAGTGAACAATCTTCAGCTCTGATATGTGGTGTCTACAAGCAAAAATAATGGATAGATATCTAGATTATTTGCTATTCTAAAAAGGGAACTCTTTTTAGTTCCAGTATTACTTGAAGTTGTATCAAAGCATAGCCCTCTGATGTTTCCTTTGGTTTCATATTCCTTAAGATTCATCACACCTTTATACTGATCCTCCCCTAAGGAAGATGCTAGAGAAGGTACTCCGAGAAGATAAACCTCTCCATCAATCTTCAAAAGAACTGCTAATCTGTCATTTTTGAATTGCTTGCCTCTTTTTAATTCAAATAAAGTTTTACCATCGAAATGAATGATAGGTGGATATTTCGAGGTTTTTAAAGCAGCTTTAATGTAATTTCTGGCTGGTTAACTTATTATTAGGTTTTTTTTTTCATATGTAATGAGGCTGCTGAAATGCTGCAATGTAATTTACTTATATCCACACCAGCTTTATGAACAACAGAAGTGACAACTTTATTGACATAATTGCAGGAGATATATCATTGATTGATGCTGCAAGAGCGTCTCATTTTCATCTAAAATTAGTTCTAAAAAAATAAGTTCTAAAATCTAAATTTGTTTTAGCATCCAGAGTATTGTGTTTTCTTTTAAACTTTTTTTAAATACTCTCTCTAGACATTTTACTATATTTTTTATCCTCAGTTCCAAGAATAAACTTTCTATGGCTTTCTTGATCATCTAAAAGCTTTAAATCTTCGGCTTTATCTTTATCTAATCTTTTCTTATCAATCATAATGGTATGTTTAAGATTTGGTGTACCAATGCAAAACACTTTATTAATCTTTTTTATAAAATCAATTTGTTTTTTTAAATCTGTAGTTGATCCTCCCTTTTCATGCTTTTTAAAATTGTAGTATTCTTTTTCTAGATTACTTAGATGCTTTCTAAATGTTTTTATCAGAAACTGTTGGAAATCCAGTTTTATTCCAAGGAGCTTTAATCAAAGATAATATGCAATTGCATTTCCCATTTTTGTACTGACTCTCTTTAATCTTTTTAGGCATGCAATATAGTATTGATGACTTTTTCACATTTGCTTCCAGTGTAGATTTTATGTAAAAGTTATGTAAAAGTTGTAAAAGTTTTTTAGTATTTCCATTTCAGTTGGAAGTTGAATACCTAAATAATATAAAAAACCATTTATCAATGTGTTATATTAGTATTTTTATTAATGATGTGTTATATTAATACTAATATAATTACAATACTTGATTACTTATTATAAAATTAATTTTTTCTAGAAAAACTAATATTATAAGCAATTCTTTATATAAAGTACATGTGTATGCATTAAATTCTGCATAAAAAGTATAATTTGAGTACAAAATAAAGAGTAATCATCAATCGAAATTATATCATCTAATATAGCTAGATTAGCTTCTCCAACTGAAAAAAAAAAACTTTTTTTCTTGACCTAAGCTCTCTTTTTTTGTATAT